CGAGTACACGACGAAGACCCTCTGCGTACCGCGGTCTGGCGGCGAACCAGTGGAGGGCCCCTGCGGCCGCCGGGTAGGCAACACCGTGCACGCCTGTGCGGCGGGCCTGCCTACCCCGCCGTCCGCGGGGGCCCTCCACCGCTACAGTGGTCTCACCCCAATCAATCCCACCGCATCATTTTTCGGGGCGACCAACTCGACTATTTTTCAGGGTGGATAGCGGCTCTGCGGGGGAGGGCGGAGGGCCGCGAGGAACAGGCGCCGGGGCAACGGGTGGCGCCGCGGCGCCGCGGCTCGGCAGCTGCGCCACTGTAATTGTTTTTAATGACGCCGCCGCCTGGTTATTGCTCTGTTCCGCAAATGATTGCGCCGGCGCGCTTTTTTACCGCCTTTTGTCCGTCGCGTCGCCCCACCTGATCGATAGGCCCGTCCTCCTTCGTGGAAACGGCAAAATGAGGGGCGGGAGCCTCACCCGCGTTCCGCGCGCGGACTGCGGCGACCCACAGTAGGCCAGAAGACCGGTGGAGGCAGTCAAAGCTCGTTTTGGCCACCAGAGTCGCTAAATGGGGCTCGAACCGAACGTGTGACCCTATCAATCGATTCCTCGCTCGGAGAGCAATCCATTGGTGGGGTCACACGTTCTGTTCGAGCCCCATTTAGCGTCTCTGGAGCTCAAAACGCGTCTAGAATTTTGGCCGCCTCCACTGGTCCCCCCACCCCACCCCCGGCATGACAAGATCCGCGGGCACGGTCGTTCATTTTCCCCGCAGCCTGTCATGTCGCGGCGCCGCCGTCGAGGCGCTCGGCACAGGTGCCCGGGGGGCGGCGGCGGCCGGGCACCAGCGCGACGTGATCAAAATCTCTTCGGATCCCCCTGGCACGGTCGCTGCCACTGGCACTGCCACTGGCACTGCCAAGCCCGCTCACCGCTCTCTTTTTCATTCCGTCCTCATTTTTTCTTCCCTCCGCGCTGCTGGCCGTCTTCGTCTTGCCGTCGTCGGCTCCCCGGCACCTGTTACCGCCGCCTGCCCTGCCGGCGCCACGCCGTTCATGTCGTTAAAATACGCGTTTTCGCGATTACGTTTCTGCCTCTGCGTTTTTTGGTTTCTGGTTTTTCTTCTCGCGGGTTCGTGTGGCAGTCCAGGGCACGCCGTACCGCCCACCGCGCGGCGCCGAGGCAGGTGTTCCCGTTCGCAACCGCAGCCACTCGCTACGCCACTAGTTAATTAGCTGCCTTGGTCCGCGCTAGCTGCACCATCCCCGCCGTGCCGCCGTGCACCCACTCTCGTCTCTCTGTCGCACACGCCTGGCCGCCTGCCCGTCTTCCTTCTCTGTCGCACCCACTGGCCGCCTGCCGTGCACCTTTCTCCGTCTTCGTCGCACACGCGGTTTTTCTCCGCCTCCACGTCCCGCTCGCGCCGCTTGCGCTGCTCGTTAGTCTTTCATGGGGCCGCCTCTAGCGCCGCAAGCGCAGCAAGCGCGCCTCGTGTTTCTTCCGCCCGGGTGGTCTGCTGCGACGCATTGAAGGCCGCCGCCGAGCCGGAGGTTCAAATACCCGCTCGTCCGACATTTTTTTACGTCTTTTTAGTGCCTTCTTCAACCTGGTGGAAGGTCGCCGTCAACCCAAGAAACGCTCTTGGGCTGAAGAAATGCTTTTGGGATGGAGAAATGCTCTTGGGATGACGAGAGGTCGCCGTCAGACAATGCGGGCTGCGCCCTACGCGGCGGGGTCAGAGTGCCGCCACGGTGCCGCCGCTAAGAACTCATGCATTCATGCATGCCGGCGGTCCCGGCGGCGGGCTGGCCCGGCCGTCGGCGATGGCGGCCCGGGTGGCGGTCCTGGGTGCAGCCCGCGGCGCGCTGCACACTCCATACATAGTGCATGGTGTACTTTGGCTCGCCACCACCTGGTGCGCGGCAGTGCGCGGCAGTGCCCGTCCGGCTGCTGCAGCGGGCTGGGTTCCCTCGGGGGCAGCGTGGGGGCGGTGGGGGCCGGTGGGGGCCGCACGGAGGCGGGCGTGGCTGGTAATGGCCACTCGTGGGCCGCCATGGGGCCGCCATGGGGCCGCATTGGCGTTGCCGGCGGTGGAGGCCGCGGTGGAGCAGGCGAGCCGAGCCAGCAGCGCCAGCGGTGCCCTCCGCAGTCAGAGCAGCACGCTCTGTCTCTGTCGCACTCGCACTCGCCCGGAAGAGTGAGAGAGACAGAGCGACAAAACGCGGCGCGGAATCGGCCAGCCAACCGATCGACGCACTCTCAGCCTCCACTCACCGCTCTGTCTCTCTTGAACCACATTCAGGCCTGCAAGTGCAAGAGAGACAGAACGGCGAAACCACGGCCTGCACCTCCACCACCAATACTCCAGTGATCTCTCCCGGCCGCTTTCAGCTGCGGTTGATTTTCCGTTATTCCAACGCCGCTGCTTCTAAACTTTCCCCCCGGGGCGGCGGTAAAAATGCGGTAAAGTTACTCGGCTGGCGTCTCTGCAATCCGCACTCGTGCCGCCGCCTCGGGCCGCGGGTCGGGCCGCCCCATTTTTGATGGTCTGCGCTGAATTAATTGGCACGCTAATTATGGGAGCGGCGGGGAGAAGAGGGTCACTTGGCGGATGAATTTCCAACTGCAAGCAGTATCCCTGGCGAGGCGAGCCAAGCCGCGTGCCTCCCCCGAGAGCCCGGCCGAGTGGGCAGGGCCGGCAGGGCCGGCAGGGCGGCGGCCACACTGCCCTAGTTCGGAGGTAAATCTGGACTGAAAACCTCAACGCTGGTCATCGGAGCGACGCTTTCTTTGTGTCGGTGTCATTTCCATATCTTTATCTTGCTTCGCCGCCGCCGCCTGCGGCCGCACGGGCACGCCGCGCCTCGAAGCGCGATTGGTGGCCTACCCTGGCGCTGTAGGCGTTCCTTTCAGCCTGTCTCTGTCGCTCCACGTGGTTCGCCAATGTGTGCGAAGGAGAGCGCCCTACACGGCACTGCACTACAAGGCGGTCTCGCCGTTTCTCTGGCTCGGCCCCGACGGGACGCGAACCGCAGACTAGTCTCTCCGGCCGGCCTTGGCGCGGGGCCAGCCCATGGCCAGCCCATGGCCAGCCCTTTGTGTCCCCGCGATGCATTGCCGGCCTTATTGTAGGGCTGCTCCATCGGACTCCAGGCGGACAATGGCGGCGCTCATGTCCCTGCCGCCCCACAGTGGGCCAGAAGACCGGTGGGGGTGGACAAAACTCTAGACGCGTTTTGATCTCCAGAGTCGCTAAATGGGGCTCGAACCGAACGTGTGACCCCACCAATGGATTGCTCTCCGAACGAGGAATCCATTGGTGGGGTCACACGTTAGGTTCGAGTCCTGTTTAGCGACTCTGGAGCTCAAAACGCGTCTAGAATTGGCCGCCTCCACCGGTCTTCTAGCCCACTGTGCGCCCCGCCGCCCACGGCCCGTCTCTCTCGCACCAGCACAGAGCGAGAGACGACGACTACTGGATAGCCCTGCGGTGGTGTCGGCGCTAACCCGCGCTAACTCGGGCTACCCTGGCCACGCGTGCCGCGTGAGGCTTTACGGTGGCGTGATACGAAACCTGACCCCGTCCGCGGGTCGCGGCGTGAGCCCTGCGGTGGCTAACGGTTACCGAACCGCCACACCGCGTCCCGATGATAGTCAACACAGCCGGCGGGGGGCGGGGGGTGACGCTCTCTGTCTCTCTCGCACCCATTCGGGAAGAGGGAGAGAGCGAGAGAGAGACCTCCCCTGGACCTCCCGCTCGGAATCGGTCTGTCTGCAGCGGCCAACAAACACACATGACTCGGCGGTCCTGTGCTTCTCCGATTTCGGGGGACGCGGCCACCGTCTGCCGCCTCTCTCTTCCCGCCTCTCTCTTCCCGCCTCTCTCTTCCCGCCTCTCTCTTCCCGCCTCTCTCTTCCCGTCTCTTTTTCCTGTCTGCTTCGTCTCGCCTCTTCTCTCGTCTCTTTCTTCCAGTCTCTCTCTTGTGCCAGCCCCTCTCTTTCAGTCTTTCTCTTCTCGCCTCTCTCTTCCCCTCTCTCTCCTCTCTCCTCTCGCCTCTCTTCCAGCCTCTCGCCTCTCGCGACGTTGAACACCTTATCCGTCGGGAGCAGCTCCGCCGAGCTGGCTGTGTTTGGCTGCTTGTGGCCCGGCGCGGCCCGGCGCCCGCCCGCCCGGTGCCCACCAGAATGACCTTGGCCCCACGTGGGCCCCTCGGGACCCCGCGCTGCACACGTCATCAAGCTCGATAGACTCCAGCCGGGCGTCGCCGGGACGCGGGTTCGAATCCCCGCGCCGCCGCGAGTACTTTTTTTTGCGCCAAGGTCACTTTTGTTTTGTTACCCCAATTGTTTGCTCTGGCGCTACGTCTAGCAATCCACCATCCTCGTCTTAAAACTTAGTTTCGGACATTGCCATTAATGCCATTCTCGAGCTAAGGCCAACTTAATAACTTAACTATAATTAGAGGCACCGTTCGCATGAAAGATGTTCTGCGTTATCGTTGAAGCTGCGATAGCGGGCACAACAGTGACTCAGCGCAAGCGGAACGAACTATTTCGATGATCGGATGCCTGCGTTTGTTGTGGTCGTGCTCGCGCGTCGGTCCATGCACGCAAAAAAATATTTTTCAGATCAGTGCTAAGCGATTTAGTGGGGATTCGGAGCAGCAGAGCTAAAAAATTAGCACAGGTGCTAAATAATGTAGCTGGAGGCCAATATGATTTAGTTGGGGAGTTCGCGATTAGCAACAGAGTTAAAATGTTAGCACTACGATTAAAATTTTAGTTGGGCCTACACAGCTAAAAGTTTTAGCACCCGTGCTAATTTTTTAGGTGGCCCTCGAATTATTTTTTTGCGTGTGTTTTTCCATGGCGCGGTTTGTTGAATGGAGTTGAGACGTGGAGGGGGCGGCGGGGCGACGCGGGACGGCGCGGGACGCAAATGGCAATCGGCCCAGCCGGTCTGACAGCCGGGTCTCCCGTCGCCTCTGCCTCTCGTTGCTCGGCAGTCTGATCCGCGGACCCGGAGGAGTGCGGCGTGTGTGCGTGCGTGTGTCGAGCCGAGATCACCGTGACACTGTGAAGACGAACGAGGTTTGAGCGGCAAGCGACCGGCCCGTGAAAAATCAAGTGCCAATTTCAAGGCCATCCAAGGTAGATGACCGCAGTGAGGTAGAGGTTGGGGGGCACACCAGGAAAGTACTGGCTAGTGCCTGCCATGTCTGGCGAAAGCCGGTTCCGCCAACCTGCACCTGGCTCCACCTGGTAGCGCAGTCTGCTGCCGCCACAATCATTTGCTGTTGTTTTTTTAAAATACAAAACACTGTCTAATTTATGTAGAGGTTGGTTTGTTATACATGCCCTTCTCACTGGTAAGTGAGTTACCTCACCTCTTGACTTCCCTTCCAAATTAAATGAAATTGAGGCGGAATTACTGCTAATTCCGCTATCTTATCGCCTCAGTCGCCAGGGAACTTTCAAAACACTCGAGAGTCTCGCCAAGTTGGGTGCTCGTTCACACTAAGGCCCTATCTTCTGCGTGCTGTTTCTAGTGTGGAAGTGCGCCACCTGTGTGGATCCCGGCAGCCTTTTAAGCACTGACAGTCTATTTTCCCGACAGAGGTTCCGTCCGTCAGCGCGACTCCGCACCATGTCGCGCGTGCAGCAGGCCGCGCGCTGCGTGCTGCGGCTGCAGCAGGTAAACAACGGCACAACGGCGGACCCACTGCTGCGAGAGATGCTCTGTTTAACCTCATGTTTTGGCCCGATGTGAGGTCCCCGTGCGCGCGCGCTCCACCGCGGCGGTCGCCCAGGATGCCGCCGCCGCCGAGGCCGTCACCAGCTGGGACACCGCCAGGTCGTACGCCGACATCCCCGGGCCCAAGCCCCTGCCCGTCATCGGCAACGCGTGGCGGTTCATGCCGGTCGTCGGCAACCTCCACGGCCTCGGCTTCGACGAGCTGGTGGAGACCCTGCACGCCGAGTACGGCCCCGTGTGCAAGCTGAGCGGCATGCCCAGGCCCGACCTGCTCTTCGTCAACGACGCCGACACCGTCCAGAGCGTGAGTGTGTGGGAGTGAGAGAGTGCGTGAGTGTGGCCAACTCGCTACTCGTGTTGTGCGATGCAGGTGTTCCGGAACGAAGGCACGTGGCCCGGCCGCAAGGGCACGCACTGCATCGAGCACTACTTCCGCGACGTCAGGGAGAACTACGTCCCCAGCTTGTCCGTTTCGTAAGTACCGTGCCGACATCGCACAGAGGGCCAGATGACCGGTGGAGGCGGCCGAAACTCTAGACGCGTTTTGAGCTCCAGAGTCGCTAAACAGGACTCGAACCGACGTGTGACCCCACCATTGGGTTCCTCGTTCGGAGAGCAATCCAGTGGTGAGGTCACACGTCCGGTTCGAGTCCCATAGCATCCAAAATTTTGACTGCCTCCTCCGGTCCTCTGGCCCACTGTGCATTGGCCCTGTCGCGACCTCTGCACGTGTTTGGTTCCTCCAGGCACGGCAAGGAGTGGCAGGAATTCCGCACCGCCATCAACCAGGTCATGATGCAGCCCCGCAACATCGTGCAGTACGTGGAGCCCATCGACAACGTGGCCCAGGACTTCATCGACAGGTCGGTGTTGCCGTCGCTCTGTCTCTCTCGCTCTGCCGGCCGTTCTGCAGGGGTGCGAGAGAGACAGAGCGACTGACCTGTCCGTCTTTGCCGCAGGATGCGGCTGATTCGGACGGCGGCCGGCAAAATGCCCGCCAACTACACCCACGAGCTGGGCAAGTGGGCCCTGGAGTGTAAGTGTCTCGGTGCCCGCACTGTCTTTCGGTTACTGTACATGGCCTCGCTGAAGGCCACCAGGCCGCCACTGCGGCCCGACTGTGTCCGCCGGCCGGCCAAGGTCGCAGCAGACCAGCAGGCCACTTCCGAGGACTGCTTTTGTCTCTCTCGCACTCATGGGGGGGCTGTACGGGTGCGAGAGAGACAGAGCGACGGTGCTCGGCCTGCAGATAAGCCGCGGCTTTATCACTGACGATGTTAATTACTCTCCTCGCAGCCATCTCGTACGTGGCCCTCGACACGCGGCTGGGCCTGCTGGAGAAGACCCTGGACCCCGCCTCGGACGCCGCCGTCATGATGACCGCCATCTCGGGCGTGTTCGACGGCATCTACGACCTGGACATCAAGCCATCGCTCTGGAAGTGGGTGGCCACGCCCGCCTACAAGAAGTTCATCGGCAGCATGAACGTGTTCACCGGGTAAGGACGTGTCTCTCACGGGACGCCCGGGAAAGAGAGACCTTCCCGCTGGCGGGGGACTGGCCTCGTCGCTACCCCGCTCGCGAGAGACACAACGTGGAGCATTGACGGTCTCAGCGGTCGCAGGGACAGCTCACTTCCAAGGAACGCTAAGCAAAAGATTCTAAATTTCGACACATTTTGAAGCCTGTGTCAGACGCGTGTTTCGTGTTCAGGCTCTCGTCCAAGTACGTGGAGAAGGCGGTGACCCGCCTGAAGACCATCTCGAAGGAAGACCTGGAGAAGAGCAACCGCAGCGTGCTGGAAAACCTGCTGCTCAACACTGATGACCCCGACAAGGCCGTCTCCATGGCCATGGACATGCTCCTCGCCGGCGTGGACACGGTGCGTACCGGGCCAGCCCAGGGTGGCCGCGCCGCACTCCCGCAGAACGTGACCGGCCCCGAGGGGTCGGCAACTTCCCTTGGCCCTGTACGAGGGAGTATACGTATATTACCAGTAATATAGGTAATATATGTGT